GAATACCAGAATAAAGAGGACTAGGGCATAACAGAGTAGCTGGCTCCCTGCTAGGAGGAGGAAGACGATACATGTGACTTAGCCCTTGAAGGATGATGGAATCTAACTAGATGGAGATGAGTATGGGCAGATGCATGAAGAGGAAATAAAGGATGCTCAAAGACTGAAGAGTATTTGTGTGACCAGAAAATCAGCTTAGAGTTTAGAATTCAGCCTGAATGCCATAGGAGTCACTGAAACATGCCAAGCAGGGATTGGAACATCTTGATTTCTGCTACCATAAAAGGCAGAGATTGTATAGGCCTGATTAAGGTACTGAGATCAGGCATGAAGGGAGAGGAAGTCTAGGAGCTAGCTGGAGGGGGAAGCAGGAGGACATGGTGGTGGCTCACTGAGCTGGGAGACGACCCAAGGCTGGTGGTGAGTTTGAGAAGGGAGGAAATGCTTTGGGGGAGGGGACCAGTGTGTGTTGCTTGTGGGGTCCTTGTTCCAGCCTGTCTGCTCTCTCCATCAAGTTTACAGTATGCTTGCGCCGAGATGGGCGGACTGTGTATCAGCAAGTTCTGTCCCTGGAGCGTCCAAGTGTCCTGCGCAGCTGGAACTGGGGCCTGTGTGGTCACTTTGCTTTCTACCATGCCCTTTACCCCCGAGCCTGGACAGTCTATCAGCTTCCTGGGCAGAACGTCACTCTCACCTGCCGCCAGATCACACCTATCTTGCCCCATGACTACCAGGTGAGGCTTCCTCCTGTTTCCTCCTTGACCTTCCCTCTCATAGGTCCACCTCTGCAGACATTGTATGAGCTACACAAGGGAGAGATTGAAGCTGTGAGCATCACACTGGCTTCCCAGTCCAGTTAATGCTAGCCTTCTAAATCTGGTAGGCCGTTCTCCTGGGAATATGGGAGATGCAAGAGAGACCGAAGGAATGTAGCAGGGGATAATTGAAAAGGTTCTCTGTGCCCATGACTGATCCTGAGGAGTGGAGCCAAGAATGGATACACTGAGCCTGAGTCTGGTCTTTTATCCCCAGGACAGCTGCCTCCCTGTAGGAGTCTTTGTGTGGGATGTAGAAAACGAAGGAGATGAGACTCTGGATGTGTCTATCATGTTCTCTATGCGGAACGGACTAGGGGGTGAAGATGATGCTGCAGGAGGGCTATGGAATGAGCCTTTCTGTCTGCAGCGGGATGGGAAGACCGTGCAGGGACTACTCCTGCATCATCCAACCGCCCCAAATCCCTACACCATGGCTGTGGCTGCACGATGCACGGTAATGGAAGAGTCTGCCCTATACCTCTACGGCCGAGCCCCAGCCCAAACCTACTCTCATAGTCTTTCATTTCATCAGCTCCCAAGTCCCATCCTCATCACAGCCCTGCCTCTGGAACTCAGAGGTGACAGTGTGTAAGAGGAGAAGAGCTAGTCAGAATCCAGGGTCCTCATACTTGCCTTACTGAGTCTTTGACCCCTTAACAGGCAGACACCACCGTAACCCACATCACAGCCTTTGACCCTGACAGCACTGGGCAGCAGGTGTGGCAGGACCTACTTCAGGATGGACAGCTGGACTCCCCTGCTGGTGATGGGGGGGTTGACAGGGAGGTGTTGGGGGAAAGGCTGTGTCCTGTCTTAGACCAGGGTGGGAGACCTGATAATGGCTAGCCCTGTCCCTGAGTTAGGAGTCCCTAGCTTTGGGGCTCAAGGGAGGGCCTGTGTTGATTCCCCTGTGCTTCTTAGGCCAGAGCACCCCCTCGCAGAAAGGAGAGGGTGTCGCTGGGGCTGTATGTATCTCCAGCAAGCTGCCACCACGAGGCCGGTGCTGCCTGGAGTTTTCACTGGCTTGGGATATGCCTAGGATCATGTTTGGAGCTAAGGGCCAAGTCCACTACAGGTGAATGCAGGGATCCAAAGGCACTGGGGCTCTGACCTAGAGCACCTGTTCTTACGTCTTTTTTTCCATCTCAGGCGATATACACGGTTCTTTGGTTCAGACGGTGATGTGGCACCTGCCCTTAGCCACTATGCACTGTGCCAGTATGCAGACTGGGAGAAGAGAATCTCAGCATGGCAGAGCCCAGTATTGGATGACAGGTGCTAGTAGAAACCCCAGGCACTTACTCCAAATAGGACTTGATCTAGTTCTACCCCTTCTACCCATCAGTAGGGCTGTGCTGGGATTCACTGAGTGCCCCTACTCCTCTGAACTCTAGAATCCTTTCTCTCCTGGGAAGCTCATAAAGATCTATTCTCTCTTCTTGGCTTCCCAGATCCTTGCCTGCCTGGTACAAATCTGCACTGTTTAATGAGTTATACTTCCTGGCTGATGGAGGCACAGTATGGCTGGAAGTTCCTGAAGACTCTCTACCAGAGGAGCTGGGAGGGAGCATGTATCAGCTCCGCCCCATTCTGCAGGACTATGGGCGATTTGGCTATCTTGAGGGTATGGGCTGCTGCTGGGTTGGGGTGTGTCAGGCTAGCTAGTGTCCTGCATAAAGCAAGATGATAGATTTTTGCCTGTCCCAAGATAATGATGGGCTGAGGGATAAATGGTGAATAATATGGGCGGAGGACTGTGCCCTGCTTCCAGCTTCTGAAGGGCTATCAAAGGGAGCTGGGATTCCTGCAGCAGTGTCTCTGTCATCCCTCCAGGCCAGGAGTACCGCATGTACAACACATATGACGTCCACTTTTATGCCTCTTTTGCCCTCGTCATGCTGTGGCCCAAACTTGAACTCAGTCTACAGTATGATATGGGTGAGGGTAACTCCTCTTAGCTTCTTTTACCCTTGAACCTTTGTGGTCTCTCAAATGATGTCCTTCCCTTTGCCCTGAGCATACTACATCCTGCTTATTGGTTTTCCTCTGGGTCACACACACACAGCTCTATGACCTGACCCAACTGCCCATTTCCTGCTTTCCCTCACCTACTTGTGTATCTGCTCCCCCAGCTCTGGCAACTTTCAAGGAGGATCTGACACGGCGACGGTACCTGATGAGTGGAGTGGTGGCGCCTGTGAAGAGGAGGAACGTTATCCCTCATGACATCGGGGACCCAGGTAAGGCTCCACTGTCCCCAAGTCAACCTTCCTCTCCATTTTTATGCCCTCTATCCCATCCACCGACACAGAAAACCAGGTCCCCTCCTCTCCCACAGATGATGAGCCATGGCTCCGGGTCAATGCCTATTTGATTCATGACACTGCTGACTGGAAGGACTTGAACCTGAAGTTTGTGCTGCAAGTTTATCGGGACTATTACCTGACAGGTGACCAAGGCTTCCTGAAGGACATGTGGCCTGTGTGTCTGGTAAGGCATGTGTATATAGTGTTCAGTATACCAGGGACATAATAGTGTCTCGGGAGAGCCCAGATAGCCAGCATCTTTCTTAGAGCCTACATCTTCAGTGTCTTGATTCCTCTCTAGGCTGTGATGGAGTCTGAAATGAAGTTTGATAAGGACCAGGATGGACTTATTGAGAACGGAGGCTATGCAGACCAGACCTATGATGGATGGGTTGCCACAGGCCCCAGGTTGGGGGATAGGGATTTCCAGGTCTGAGGTGGGGAACTGGTCATGGAAGGATGGTGGCACTTATGCATGGGAGGGGCTGGAGCTGCCAGTCTCACCCCAGCCCCTGTCCCTGATCAGTGCTTACTGTGGAGGGCTGTGGCTGGCTGCTGTGGCTGTGATGGTTCAGATGGCTGTTCTGTGTGGGGCCCAGGATGTCCAGGATAAGTTTTCTTCCATTCTCTGCCGAGGCCGAGAAGCTTATGAGAGACTGCTCTGGAACGGTGAGTGAGAGCAATCTGGGACATCTCAAAGCCAACTACACGCACACAGCAGCTTTACTTTGCCCTTCTACTCTAGGCCGCTACTACAACTATGACAGCAGCTCCCAGCCTCAGTCCCGTAGTGTCATGTCTGACCAGTGTGCTGGGCAGTGGTTCCTGAGGGCCTGTGGCCTGGGAGAAGGAGACACTGAGGTGAGAGACTAGAAAAGCCAGAAAGGTGGGTTTCCCTGGAGGTGGGAAGCAAGTATAAGAGACAATCTCTCTGCCTTTTCTCTTCCCCTAGGTATTTCCTACCCTGCACGTGGTCCGTGCTCTCCAAACCATCTTCGAGCTCAATGTCCAGGCCTTTGCAGGAGGAGCTATGGGGGCTGTGAATGGGATGCAGCCTCACGGCGTTCCCGACAGATCCAGTGTGCAGTCTGATGAAGTCTGGGTGGGTGTGGTCTACGGGCTGGCAGCCACCATGATCCAAGAGGTAATGTATCCCCTTTCCCATCCCTTCACCACTTGTACTGTGGTCCAGAAAACTTCCTCAACTACTAAATTTATTCTTAGAACATCCTAAAGTCATCTTATCCATCCACTGAGTCCCCTTTTCTCTGGTATGTGTTCCACCCTTTGCCTTTAGTTCTAACCTGGGGGCAAAAAGCATACTATCTTATCTGCTCACCAGAGGTAATTGTACCATGGGAGCCAGTTATTATGTGTGACTTCTACCTCTCCCCACAGGGTCTGACCTGGGAAGGTTTCCGGACAGCTGAAGGCTGTTACCGCACTGTGTGGGAACGCCTGGGCCTGGCTTTCCAGACCCCAGAGGCATACTGCCAGCAGCGAGTGTTCCGCTCACTGGCCTACATGCGACCACTGAGCATCTGGGCCATGCAGCTGGCCCTGCAACAGCAGCAGCATAAAAAGGGCAGCAGGCCAGTCGTCACACAGGGCGTAGGACTAAGCACAGAGCCTGAATATGGACCAAAGAAATCTTGAACAAACCTAAGTCCAGAGCGATCCCTCTGAACTGTGGAAGCCCAGCACCCACACTGGTCTTTCCTCCTTTCCTCCACAACTCCTGCAGCCCTGAGCCACTAGGACAATCATGCCCCTTCCCTTCTTCCTACCCAACTGTGCCAGTAAGAAGGGGCTGAAGAACCATTTATTTATTTCTTACCCTACCCGTTCCTTCTGTGGATGAAATAGTCAAGGCCAGTAAATTTCTCCAAGTCTATTCATGGAACAACAGATACACATGGGTATAAATAAAAGACCCATAAAACTAGTAAGTGTGGTGTGCTTGAGTTCCCAGGCATCCTAACAGGGCACAGGAAAAAAGGCCAGCTCTTTCCCCCATTCTGTCTTACTTAAATACAGACAGGAATCCTCAGGCTGAGGATTCCCTCATGTTATCACATCTAACCTGAATACCTGCCCTGCAAGATGACAGAAGGGCTCTGGGTAGGCAGCCACTCCTCTTCCTTTGAAAGATTTGCCTGCAGGGGATGGTCGGGACCTGCAAAGGGGGTCTCTGAGGAAAGATCAAAGTGTGGCCAGTACAGAGGTGGTTCTGCTTGAGGTGCGTCGTATAGCAGGCAGGTAAAGTTGCTGGAGGCCTGGAGCGTATGTTCTGAGCTACCCAGTAGCTGGTTTGTGCTGTCCGTCATTAACTTTAACTGCTGGGCAGGCAGCTTCATCTGATGCTGGTCCTCACTGGGGAGGGCACGGAGCTGACGGTGCAACACTGGAGAGACAAAGGCTGGTCAAGAGACAACATAGAAGAAGCCCTTTACCACAGCCCATGCCTTAAAGGTGTCCTTCAGCCTCTTACCAACATACTCAGCTGGCACGCTCCCCCTTGTGTCAGAGGAGTACATAGCGGGTACAAGAAGAAGGCAGAAAGAAAACAGCAGGACCTAGAACACAAGAAAAAGGAGGTGAGGGTTCTGGGTCACCACCCTGTCTCTGCCAAGGATCTCTCGTCCTCCTCCTCACCAGAACACATGTGCTGCTGCTGCTGCTTTTGTTTGCTATCCCAATAACCATGGCCTGAAGTCTCCTCAGTTGGTCTAGAAGGGACCTAAGGAAGAGGGACACAGTGGTGAGCATGCCCTGGCCGAGCACCCAAGTCACAGTGAAACCCTTCCACTTAGGCCACCCTCTCCACTAGTGCAGACGAGCCAATCCCTCAACTTCCTTGCCTGTTGTTCCCAAATGACTTCTCCTTTGTGGACAAGTGCCTGTAGTTCCTTATTAAAACAACAAATCAAAACTTCGCTGCCTTGACTTAAACCCCTTTGCAAATGCCTTCCAGAATTCTCGTAATACCTAATCAGCTATGCACATAATCCTCACCAGGTACTGTGTTCTCTACTTTCTGGGACAACACCACCATGCTAGAGAGTTCTAGCCAAACACAAACATTGTCTTCTCTCTGCCTAGAATGCTTCCCCTATCCCGTCCCATGCCCAAATCGCAGCTGCTCTGATGCCGACTACCTCCATTCAGTCTTTGCTTCCTTCCCTTTCTTTGTCTTGGTACTTAATTTCTCCTTAGCTGCTTGTAAATTTATTTCTCATTGCTCTGAGCTTGAGACCTGGTAAAACCAACCACCAGGTTTTTGTATTTAGGAGCTATCTAGTTAGAAGTCAAGTGTGGAATAGTGGAAAGAGTGAGAAAGCATTAAGAAATTAGTGTGGAGGCTGGATAGTTCACTCCGCAGTTAAGAACACTGACTGCTCTGCCAGAGGACCCAAGTTCAATTCCCAGCACCCGCATGGCAGCTCACAGCTGTCTGTAACTCCAGTTCCAGAGGACCTGACACCCTCACACAGACATACATGCAGGCAAAACAACAATGCACATAAAGTAAAAATCGTTAAAAAAATAAAATAAAAGATTAAGCCAGGCAGTGGTGGTGTATGCCTTTAATCCCAGCACTTGGGAGGCAGAGGCAGGTGGATCTCTGTGAGTTCGAGGCCAGCCTAGACTACAAGAACTAGTTCCAGGACAAGCTCCAAAGCACAGAGAAACCCTGCCTCGAAAAAAACAAACAAGATTTTAAAAAATTAACGACTATAAATGGTTGCTTACAGATTCTGTTCCTCTAGAAGTTGTACTTTGTTCTGCAGCTCCTGATTCTGGGCTGTGTATTTCAAGACCCTGGAGGATAACATGAATATCAAAATATTGCCCGTGTCTTCCTTTCAAAACCTTAAGGCCTCCAGCTTCCCCATATTCTTTCTTCCCTACCTGCTCTCCAGCCCTCCGACATACACCTTCTTCTTCTTGCGGCTTTCCTGAGCAGCTCTCTTGTTGCGAATCTTTCTCCGTACGCGTTTTAGAACCTGTTCTTCCACCTAAGAGAAGATGGGAAAAAGGTCATCCAAGGTTTATTGTTATATACATATCGTATTATATCGGTGTGTCGGAAGGCAGCTAAGTCCAGCCTTCTTCCCAGTGAAGGATTGCAGCTTCTCTGACTAGTACACATCCGCCTTCTCTGTGAACGTCTCTAAGGACCAGGTGTTCAACACTCAAAAGCCAGACTATTTTTTGGTATTACTTTTATGTGTATGGGTGTTTTTGCCTATCTGTATGTCTGTATATAATGTGTCTGCCTGCTGCCCACATAGGCCAGAAGAGGGTGTCAGATCCCCTGGGATTGGAGTTACAGGCAGTTGTGAGCTGTCATATGGGTGCTGGGGCTTGTACCTGAACCCCATAGAACAGTAGAAAGTGCTCTAAACCACTCTCCAGTCTCTAATTAAATTTTAAAAAATTCCTCTTAAGCTAGGGGTTAGCACATGCCTGTAATCTCAGCACTTGGGAGGGAGAGGGAGGAGATCAGGACTTCAAGACCATCCTTGGCTAGAGTAGTTTGAGGCCAGACTGAGCTACATAAGACCTGTCTCAAAACTATGAACAACAACAACAAAAATCCATTTTTGTCCTAAACCAACATCAATCTTCTCATAATTTCTATCCACTGGATGTACCTACAATCTCTGGGGTTATATAGAATAAATCCTTATTTTAAGCCACTTAAGCTTTTTTCTTCCAGAAATTAAAATTGAGTGAAGTTGTTAACTCTTATGTTCTCCGATATAGCCTGTCAAATCTGGACACTAACCAAGAGTGATATCATTCATCAGTAATCTAGTCCCAGAGAGGTAGAAGGAGGGTCAGGAGTTCAAAGTCTGAAGCCAGTACACAGTCTAAGGTCAGCCCAGCCTGGGCTTACAAGCCCCTCCCTCAAAAAGCAGGACTGAGGATGTAGCATGAGGTGTTATATTCAACTCGCAATGGGTGGGGGGATTAAGGTGTGGCCTGACCAGTAGCAAGGAGGACAAGCCAGTCACCGTCCTAAGGACAGCACCACTACTGATCATTTCCAAATTCTATTTTCTTTCTTACTAATATCTTACTCACTCACCTTGTAGTGAGTAGAGGGACAGGAGACAGTGTCTCACATAGCCCAGGCTTGCCTGTACTCGTCCTGAAGCTAAGTCTGGCCTTTAACTCCTGATTCTCCAACCACAAATAAACACCCACATTAACCAAAGATACCATGAAGCTGGGTGGTAGTGACAATGCACACCTCTAATCCCAGCACTTGGGAGGCAGAGGCAGGCAGATCTCTGTGAGTTCAAGGCCAGCCTGGTCTACAAAGTGAGTTCCAGGACAGCCAGAGCTACTACACAGAAACCCTGCCTTGAAAAAAACAAAAGACAAACAAACAATAGATACCACGAAACATTAAAAAGGCAAATAATGTAAGAATACTTGCCACGAAAGCTAGATGTAATGTATGCCTGTAATCCCAGCACTTGGGAAATGGCTTTGAATGTATGAGGACCTTCTTGCCTCTGCCTCTGAGTGCTGGGACAAGAGAGGTGCGAGCCATCATGGCTGGCTTTGACAACTGTTTTGTTAGGCTGGTTCAGACTCTTAGACATTTCTACCACTGAGCAAGAGGTGGGGTGCTATGGTCATAATGACATCTATAAAGTCTCTTCATTTGCAGGCCTTTTCAATGCCCTATATTAATGTTAGTTGACATTCAAAAATTATTTTTATGTGTGGATGTGGGCTTGTTTGGAGATCAGAAAACTAGGAAGTCAGTTCTTTCCTTCCATCGTGTGGGTCCTGGGATAGATACCAGGTCCAGCAGGGCAACAAGGGCCTTTTCCAACCAAGCCACACACTGGTAATTTTGAAGGGACCACCAAAATTTATATAAGACCTACAAGATCAAGAACTGCTCTTGCTTCTATTCTATTGTCTACCCGACCCAGCTTCCCACTAGCAACAAGTTTGCTTAGATTCTGACCTCAGTCCTTTTTCAAGTAACTGATATGAAATAAACTGAATTTGCCTACTTGGGCCATAAATCCCCCTCCAGCTTTTGCTCCAACGACAGGAACCCTACCTTAGTGAGAGGAAGTGTTGAGGGCAGAGAAATCCCCTCCTTCTCCAAGAGCCTCTTCTCTTCCTCAGTCAGTACCAGCCTAGCAATCTCCTAAGGTTGGAGGACACAGAGGAGAGCAGAGTTGCATGGGGATGTCAGAGAAGAACGGGGGAATCTGACCCCAGTCCTGCAAGGTGAGACGATCCTGAAAACTCAAGCCCAGTACCTGTTCTGCGGCTGTTTCCTCCGCACACAGAGGAGTCATGCAGAACCCCTCCTTTTCGAAGTTCACAGGATCTGCAAAAACGAAAGTCGGGTTGGCTAGGCCTGTGAGCTCTTTCCTCCCCCATAACTTAACATTTCACACCCACCTAGATCTATGGAGACATGGTCCTGTGAGAGGGAGTAGTTGTGGTCGTGGCGAATAGAAGAGATGGCGGAACTGAGACCATCCAGAGATGCGGAGGGACTGAGCAGAGAGCTCAGTAAATCCTCTACCTCCCAGTCGCTCAGGGCTTGCCCGGAGTTCTAACAAATTCACAGGCCTTGGTTTATCTCTGTACCTTTGGGTCTCACGGACGTCGCTTAGCTTTCCCACTCAGAACACCCACCCACCCACCTCGGAAGGCGACAGCTCTAGGTCCAGCGGAGCCTCCACGTCCTGCTCGATCGCAGTCCACAAACCTCCGCTTTCCTCTAGCAGGAAGTCCAGCGCGTCCGGATCATCAAGATCCAAAGCTAGCAGGTCCTGACCACCAGGATCCATTTCCATTATCTACGGATAGAAATCCCTGAGCGCAGATACAATCTCGGAACCTTAGGCACGACCCCTCGGTCTAACTGTCAAATCGCTCGACTTACCTTAGTCACCCTTCTCCGGGGGGCAGGGCCGAGGGCCTAGTGGTCACAGCAAACCACAGCCTCCTCCCAGCTTCTAGCCTCCTCAGCTTCCAACACAACGGAAAAGATGCAATAGCCCAGCCCAATGGCATCTTGGAACTTGGAGTTCCCTCCTACTCGGAAGTGGCTCGTGTGCCGCGCCACGTCCCGGGAGCTATGCAAATTGTAGGGACGTCCCTACAGTTTCCCACACCCCAGGGCGGGGATTCTGGGGGATCCGGCTCCGCCTTCGCCTCCAGCTAGAAAAAAAGAAGACTAAGAGTCTAAAAGGGAACTCTAGCTTAGTTCTGGCGTTCTCTCCAGCGCGCCGCACCCTCGCTTCCTGCCGGGGAGGGGCGGCCAGGCTTCAGCAAGCGCCTGCCTGAGCATCGAGAGCTGCGGCTAGAGTAGCTTCCTGAAGTCTCCGAGACCATAGAGCGCGGGCCCAGGGCGCCGCCGGCGGGTGGGGGACGTTTCCAGGACGGAAGTGGACCAGAGTGTCGAAGGGAGGGCGAGGCCGGAGCCCCAGAGCGACCCGGAGAACGAGCGGGTAGCGGGCCGGCGGGCGGGGCGCAGAGCCGGCAGCGCAGGTAGGCCAGGCGGGTAGGGCCGGAGCTTCTAGGTGGGGCTGCGGGGACAGGCCAGCCCGGGAAGCGGCGGGCGGGGCCCCCCATCCTCCTGCATATCCTGTGTCCGGTTCTGTTGGAGAGGTCAGCGTCCAGTGCGTTTCGTTTGGGGTTTGGAATTAAGCTAGCTGTGTGGCGAGAGGCAGGCCCCTTTCGAGGGAGCAAACGGTTCTCTGTCTCGGCCAGGTTTGGGGGAGGGTGAGTAATGGGGTGGCAGTGAGGCGCTGGGCGGGGATGTCCTTTGGTGTTAACAGATAGTGAGTATATGGTTAGGAAAGCTTTGGGTGAGTTTGGATAGGTGCGATCGACTTTAGGAAGCGAGGATCCCTTTAGAAGTTATGAAGCGGGACTAAATATGAAACATTAGCTGCACTAGTCAAGTCTGTTTCGTGTAGGTGGCATTTAGATTGAAGTCATTATTTTGTCTTATGGTATGAGCAGAATATATCAGAGTACAGGATCAGATTAAGGATCAACGACAGGAATTGACTTAGAAGCCCGTTTTAGGGATTAAAGGCCATGGTCATGGTTAGAATTAAGAATAAACAGTGGAAAGGTGAATTAGGAAGCAAGTTAAAAAATAAACTTTAGGACTAAGGGTCAGTATTTGGGTTAAAGTCGAGGGATATAGGCCCAAAAATAAAAGCTAGATTAGTTTGGGTGTCTACTGTGGAAGGGATGAATGGCAAAGTCTGGGGAATTCGGAAACAAAGTCAGGGTTAATGTTAGGAACGGGTGGCAGCGTTAGGGGTTGAGCTTTGCAGCCACAGTTGAACAGGTAAAAACGTGAGGGGTTGGCAGCACGTAGCTGCCTTTGTTTCCTGGTGAGGTCCCTTATTCCGGTGTAATCACAGAGGCTTCTTTTACCCAGAGGTGACAGTCTGGGCTCCAGCTAGAACTGCTGACACCTGGGACTCCGCTTTATTCCGCTGCCTAAGCCCCAGTCTTCCTGGGACTACCATCACCGGGAGGCGGGGGTTTCTAGACTTACACCATTTACTAGGTGGAAGGTGGGAACTGGAAAGCGACCCAGGAGTCAGACCAGGTCTAGTCCTAAGTGGGGAAGACTGGGAGAGAGGAGGCCCATGACTGATGGGGAAGCTGGCCAGGCAAACACTGTTTCAACTGAGCTCCCACAGTTTAACAGACAGCTTCGTTCCCTCCCTGCCCTGCCCGCCTCTTGCCCCTGGCCCTACAATGCACACCCTGTCCACTTCCTTATAGAGTCTTCCCTGGCCCCTAGCTCTTTCCTGGCTGTCCGTCTTAGCTCTTCATTCCCATCCTCTCTCCCCATCTGTTCATCCACACACCCTACTTTAGTTTCTGTCACTCAGATCTGAGCTTTCCCATTATCATAAAGCACTTTCTCATGCATGCTCCCTAGTCAGCTGCTGAACCCCCATCTCCCAGCTCTTGCTGTGTGTCACCCCCCCTCCCGGTTTCTGAGCCTCCTTTAACGTCTAGGTCCAGTTGTAGATCCCCTTCCCCCATCCCCAACGGAAAAGAGGAAATGATACCCAAAGAGGAAACTGGGTCTTACTGATCCCACGCCCAGCCAGGCCACTGACCACACCCCCATGTCACTACCAGCTTGACCCTGCCACTGACCACAACGCTATCCAGACTGATTCAGCCTTTGGCTCTACCCCATGCTGCCCCTCCTCCCAGCTCCAACATTACTTAGACACTGCCAGTGACCCTCCACTACCCCAGCAGCAGCCTAATTTAGCCACTTACCACATCCCTCGCTCTTCTGAAGCTCCTGACCTGGCCTCTGACCTCTTGCTGTCATTCCCCAGTTAGTCACCGTCCATGGAGTCATTCTTGCGCTTCCCCATCTGGTCCGGTCACCATCACACGTGTCTGTTTCTTATCATCACCTCCCCTCTGTCCTCCCCAGTCCTCCCCAGTCGCAGCCTGATGTGGTCAGTAACTCCACCCATCTGCCTCTACCTTCACGTACTGTCCCATCACATCCCCACACACACACAGCTTGTCCCGCATCCCCATCCCAACCTAGCCCCGTCCCTTTCCCTCGTTGCATTACTTAACTGGAGCTGTCTCGTTAATAAATGCCTGATGCTCCCTGGGCTCAGGCTTCTGGGAGCAGAGGAGGCTCATCAGTTCCTCCCTCAGGTTTTTCTTATGAATGGCAGCTTCCTCTCCACACAGCTTTAACTCTGGCTTCATTATCCCTTGTACTAATACAGGGTCCTCCTAACCTGACCCCAAAGGTGCCCTAAAGTCCAGTTCTGGGGATGTCCCTGCACAAAGTTCCTTACCTCCCGTTCCCCTCCCGTCAGCTAAGTTCCTCATACTCTTCTCTCAGCCTTTGCCTCTCCATCTTAACCCTGCCTTCCCCACCGCTGCTCCTTGCAGGTCGCTGTGCTTCAGCCAGCTTGCCTACTCACCCTCCCGAACGTTCCTCCACGATTTCCTGCTTCTCCACCTTTGCTCATGTCATTCTCTCTGCCTGGGATGCTACCTCTGACGCATCTTCGACTGACCTAAAAGAGAGAGAGCTTGCTTGGGCTTTGGAGTCAAAGAGACCTGAGTTCGGATCTTGGCTTCACAACTTATTATTTGGACAAGTACTTTGGAAAAGTATTTAACATTCTTGAGCCTTGGTTTCTAATCTGTAAAAATAGAAGTAAGGACACCTACCTTGCAACATTGTTGAAGGATAAGCTGATATTATGTATACAGTGCAATTAACATAGTCAATAAATGGCACATCACTATTACTTTTCATTATCTCCATGTTTTTAAAGTCCTAACTTCAAATTATCCCTTTCATGGGTACCCTGGTCCCTCTTCCCTAACCAAAAGGGATCCCTTTTCTGAGCATGCACATTTTGGCTCTTCTCACATCCTGCCCTCTGTTGTAACTCTGTGTTTAGTTTATCCACCCACCTGGAAGGCTGGCAACCTGGGGAAAGCAAAGTCTAGGTCTTACTCACCTTGGTTCCCAGCCACTGAAAGTTTGGCCCGGGGCCTTCCCACAATGGGCTCTCAAAAAATGCATGGAGGGAAAATGTGTGCATAATGGAAGGGGAGGGGTTGGGAACCTGGCATCGGGGCCTGGTGCACTGGTGAGGAAGTCGTGTGTGCGTGTGTGTGGTGCCTTCAAGCGTTACATCTTTTGTCGAGGCTGTGAGACCGCGATAAGGTCTGTGTAGGGACAGCGTAAGTAGTTCTGTGGGAAGGAGTTGTGTGCAGGCTAAGGGGACTTGGTAAAGAGTGAGTTTGCATGTATGGATATGAAGACCCTATGCTGGAGGAAGTCAGGCCCAGCCCATCAGCTGCCCAGTCCAGCCTTAAATGAGCCTCCAGCAGCCCGAGGCCGGATATGTCAGTCTCACCCACAAACCCCTCCCCCTCCCAGCGGTTGAGGACTCAGAGGCCAAATTTGGTAACAGACTGAGTGTTATTCCCCCAACCCTCTTACATTTTGACTCTGTGTTCGGCTTTCTCTCTCCCTTTGTGCCCTTTCGTAGCTCCCTATCTTTCTGTGGTTCCCTCTTGTGGGTACCTGCACTGGTGATAGTCTCCCTGTACCCCAAAATTCCTTAGCTCTAGTGTACTTGCATTCCATTCCTTGCTGGGTTTTGACCTCCTGTCCTCCACTCCCCCCTTCAATTGCCCAACGCCTCTGGAATGCATCTCAGGAATGTATTGAGGGAGGAGGAGTTCTCTGGGAGGGGGACATGGAGGGGGTGTTGTTGTTGTTCATAAAACATGAGAGGAAGTGGGCCAGGGTTCTCAGATCAGGACAGGAGGCAGATAGCCTCTACTAATAGTCCCAGGGGTCTTGTTGGCCACTAGTCCCAATTCAGTGTCCAATTCCTTGACTTCCCTTCACTCTCAATTAATTGTGTGGATAGCTACCTACAACCAGCCTGGAAATTAGGGCAGGCATGACTCGGCTCTGTTATCGGGGTCTCACAGAGGAAGAAGTGGGTATCCATATGTCCGGAGGAAACGAGGAGGAGGGGCGTACATGCAGCTTCAGCTTGGGCTGCGTTGGCCTCTCACTCCTGCTCTGGTTTCTCGCACTCCTGTGTCGCTGACAACCAGGTCTGTCCCACTGCTGAAAAAGGTCCTCTATGAATAAGGGGGGCTGGGAGGATCTTCTCACTTGGGGTAAGGATGGAGAACAAGCTCTGCCTCTTCTCCTGCAGTCCTGGACTGTATGTATGATCAGAAACCTCCTGGTCACCGATCCTGGTATTTCCTACAACTGTGTCTGGTTTCTGTCAAGACTTTCTACTCTCCTGCTCCATCTTTCCCAACCTCCTTATCCTCTACCCTTTTTTAGCTTACCTGGTTCTCAGGTGCCTTCTGTATCATGATACCCACCTGTTTCCCAGTCCAGCTTATACCCTTGGGCTAGCAGTTTGCTAGGTGGAGGATGGGAGGCTGCCTTCCCTCCCTTCCCTCTTCATTAAGAGGCACCCAGCCCCATACCACATCGGGTCACATCTT